GTTTTAGAGATGAGGTCTTGCTCTGCACCAAGCCTGCAGTGACACAATTGCAGCCTCCAATCTTGGGCTCAAATAATCCTCCCACCTCAGCCTCCCAAGTAGCTGAGACTACAGGTATGTACCACCACGTCCCGTTAATTTTTTCCTCTTTTTTTAAGAGGCAGGTTCTCACTGTTGCCCAGGCTGGTCTCAAACTCCTGGCCTCAAGCAAAATTCTCCTGCCTCAGTCTCCCGAATAGGTGGGATTATAGGCATAGGCCATGGCTCAGGAGTTAATGCATTCGTTAAGTAACACATCCTCTGGAAGAATGACTTTAAGGACTCAGGGAAAACTTAACAGATGTGCTAACATTTGTACCTAAGTCATTATCATAGTATATAATTAAGGTTTATTTTTAAAAACTGGGGTCTGCCAGTGCTATAAGATGAATTCTTTTTTTTTTTTTGAGCACGGAGTCTCGCTGTTGTCGGCCCAGCTGGGGAGTGCAAGGTGGCCGGATCTCAGGCTCATTGCAAGCTCCGCCCTCCCCGGTTTTACGGCCAGTTCTCCTGCCTCAGCCCTCCGGGTAGCCTGGACTACAGGGCGCCCAACCCACCTGCCCGCGTAGTTTTTGATTTGTATTTTTATAGTTAGAGACGGGCTTTTCCACCGTGTTAGGCCAGGATGGGTCTTCGAACTCCGGACCCTGTGATCCCGCCCGTCTCGGCCTCCCAAAGTGCTGGGATTACAGGCTTGAGCCACCGCGCCCGGCCAAGATGAATTCTTAAAGTCTGTGTTTAAACAGTTCTATTTGTTATAAAGACAATTTCTCTTTTACAGTTTAAGTCATGATTAAAAGCATGTTCAACAAATACGCATGTTTAGGTGATGTGTTTATAAAACGCCATTTTCCTTACCAAATTGTTTTTTTTTTTTTTTTTGAGACAGGGTCTTACTCTGACACCCAGGTTGGAGAGCGATGGTGTGATCTCGGCTTACTGCAACCTCCGCCTCCTGGGTTCAAGTGATTCTCCCACCTCAGCCTCCTGAGTAGCTGGGACCACAGGCACGCACCGCTACACCCAGCTATTTTTTGTATTTTTTGGTAGAGACAGGGTTTCTTCATGTTGCTCAGGCTGGTCTCAAACTCCTGACCCCAAATGATCCACCTGCCTCAGCCTCTCAAAGTGTTGGGATTACAGGCGTGAGCCACCACATCTGACCTATAAAGCACTTTCTACATATATTTTGTCACTTAATCTGTATATAATAATGTGAGGAACACAGGTTTCTATTATCCCAATTTAAAGAAAGACCAGCCCAAAATATCACAATAATACACCCAAGACTGGAATCAAGATTTTCTATTTCTCTATGTTTTTTTTTCTACAAAGAAATCACAACCATCAAAGCTAATTTGGATAAAGAAAATAAATTCACATACTGAGTAATTATATGTACCAAACACAATATGAGATGGTTTATTTTTATCATTTAATCCTCACAACCATCCCTCTGCAGTGTGTTATGGTCTTCATTTGGCAGTGATGCTGTTTTAGCAGAGAGGTTAGATAACTTGTTTAAAGTCACAATTAGAAAGTGGTAGGGGCCAGGCACAGTGACTCACACCTGTAATCCTAGTACTTTGGGAGTCTGAAGCAAAAGGACTGCTTGAGGCCAGGAGTTTGAGAACAGCCTGGGCAACACAGTAGGACCTCATCTCTACAAAAAATAAACACTTTAGGAAGCTGAGGTAGGAGGACAGGAGTTCAACACTAGCCTGGGCAACATAGCGGGGTCTCACCTCCACAAAAAGTGAAAAAAAAAAAAAATTAGCTGGGTATGTTGGCACAGGCCTATGGTCTCAGCTACTAAGGAGGCTGAGGCAGGGTGTTCACTTGAGTCTAGAAGTTCAAGGCTGCAGTGAGCTATGATCACATACTACTCTACTTCAGCCTGGGTGACAAAGCAAAACCCTGCCTTTAAAAAAAAAAAAAAAAAAAGTTTCTCTGGAATCCAAACAACATTTCTCTTTTTCTTTTTCTTTTTTTTTTTTTGAGACGGAGTCTCGTTCTGTTGCCCAGGCTGGAGCATAGTGGCGCAATCTTGGCTCACTGCAACCTCCGCCTGCTGGGTTCAAACAATTCTCCTGCCTCAGCCTCCCAAGTAGCTGGGATTACAGGTATGTGCCACTACGCCCGGCTAATTTTTGTATTTTTAGTAGACATGGGTTTTCACCATGTTGGCCAGGCTGGTCTCGAACTCCTGGCCTTAGGTGATCCACCCACAAAGTGTTAGGATTACAGGCATGAGCCACCATGCCCAGCCTCCAAACATTTCTAATGATTTCACTTAACAGAAGAAACTTACATCAAGTTATTTCTGGAACATGGTACAGAAAACAGTTCCTAGGTATAATGCACAGTACAGTTCAAAGTCCCAAAGTTTCATATTTAACATGATAAATGTCTGGCCTTCTGTCTAAATTTTCTTCCCAGATATTACTTTGAAAAAGGAGTTAGAAAGCTATTCATTTACTCTCAAGCCCAAGGCTTTACAGATATGGCTAACTAAATCACATGTCAAAGGAATAAACTAACAACTGAGAACTCCAAAGCCTCAGGGAAGAATTCCAAGGTTGCTATTTGGGCAAACCTGCCTGACTTTTCCAAATACAGTTTTCTGATAAAGTAGGAAAAATTCAAATATTCCTCAAAATTGGAGAGCACAGTAAGAAATGGTCTGATCTTATATAGCAATTCTATATTTCATTTTAGAGATCTTATTTCTAAATTTATAGGAACATGAGGCCAAAAGCTAGTATCAAAAGGAAAAAAAGGAAATGTAAGAAGCTGAATACAGAATAAAAGCATTTAAGAAAGGAACAGGTTTGAATCTTCTTTGTCACAACTTGATATACACTTTTGAAATAAAAGGTATTAAAATTAATCAGGCATGTAAATGTTTAAGCAGATTTTTGTTTTGCCAGCTCATCAATTCACAAATTAGTACACATTTCCTAAGAATCCAGTAGACTCCTTCAGACACGGCTCGGATAACAGACAGATAAAAAATACAGAGATTACCAAAATTAGTCTGTAAACTCCATGAAGAAAGAACCCATAACTATTTTATTTCCTGATGTTACCCCCAATGGGAAATGCATAACCTGATATGTAACACTGAGAAGTCATGGAATAGAACATATTTTAATAATCTGCTTTATCAAGTTGTAAGAGTATCAAAAAATCATAGCTATTTCAATATTAAATATCAAATGAGAGTCCCCATAAGATTTTTTTTTTTTTTTTTTGAGGTGGAGTCTTGCTCTTTCACTCAGACTTGAGTGCAGTGGCGCAATCTAAGCTCACTGCAACCTCTGCCTCCAGGGTTCACGCAACTCTCCTGCCTCAGCCCCCAGAGTAGCTGAGATTACAGGCGCGCAATACCACACGGCTAATTTTTGTATTTTTAGTAGAGATGGGGTTTTGCCATTTTGGTCAGGCTAGTCTCAAACCCCTGACCTCAAGTGATTCACCTGCCTTGGCCTCCCAAAGTGCTGGGATTACAGGTGTGAGCCACCGCACCTGGCCCCCATAAGATCTAAATGTAGCTATCCAAAATTCCTAATTAATGTTTTCGGGTTCTCTTAAAAAAAAAAAAAGGAGATCAAGCGTGTGCTTACTTCCCATTTTGATCATATAACTGATCCAGAAATAATTAGCTTTGTTAACAAAGTTAGAAGAAAAAACAAAAACATAATTTCAGAAAGAAGGAAAAAAGATATAAACAGATGGGTTCCATGCAGACCAGCCTCTAGAGGAGTAGAGCTGGCTAGCTCTGTGGCTTTTGTCCTCCAAGCCAATTTTGAGAGGGGAAAAAAACACACTGGAAAAGAAAACATTAAAAATAACACCATGGCAGGCCGGGCACGGTGGCTCAAGCCTATAATCCCAGCACTTTGGGAGGCTGAGATGGGCAGATCACGAGGTCAGGAGATTGAGACCATCCTGGCTAACAAGGTGAAACCCCGTCTCTACTAAAAAATACAAAAAACTAGCTGGGCGAGGTGGCGGGCGCCTGTAGTCCCAGCTACTCGGGAGGCTGAGGCAGGACAATGGCGTGAACCCGGGAGGCGGAGCTTGCAGTGAGCTGAGATCCGGCTACTGCACTCCTGCCTGGGCCACAGAGCGAGACCCCAGATCAAAAACAAAAAACAAAAAACACCATGGCATTAGTTACCATGAAGCCAGAGAGTCATTGCTTTCCTGCAAATCTAATATGTACACGGATACATATGGCATAAAAATCTAAAATGTATTATGTACAGATACTTTTGGAGGTACTATCTTATTTCTTAACAATCCCTAATATGACAAGCAGAAAATTCCAAGAGACAATTGAGACAATTTCCAACATCTGTACGTAATCTCCCTACTCAACCTCTCTTGAAACAACCGCACATATCAGCACAGCTAACATTTAAAAATACTTTTTTCAGTATCACACTCTCCTCTTCCCTCAGATTCTAATAATATATTACAATTTTCTTTTTTCTTTTTTCTTTTTTTGAGATAGAGTCTTGCTCTATTGCCCAGGCTGGAGTGCAGTGGTAAAATTTTGACTCACCACAAACTCCACCTCCCAGGTTCAAGCGATTCTTGTGCCTCAGCCTCCCAAGTAGCTGTGACTACAGGCATGCGTCACCATGCCCAGCTAATTTTTATATTTTTCACAGAGACGGGGTTTCACCATATTGGCCAGGCTGGTTTCGAACTCCCGACCTCAAGTGATTCACCTGCCTCAGCCTCCCAAAGTGCTGGGATTACAGGTGTGAGCCACTGCGCCACGCCACATAATTACAATCTCTAGAGGCTCTTTTCTCATATGCTTGTGACTTAATCCCACTTGCAGAATACTTTGTCAACTAATCTGCCATAAAACAAAGTCTTTCTATGAATGTATATCACTAAAGTGCCCCCAAAACAGCTGTCAGCAAGCAACATACAATAACACTCACCCTCCTTACTTTATGTTTGGTTCTCTCTCTTCACATGTGGTTCGTGGGTACAGAAGTTCTTCCTCCACCCATTTTCACTCAGTTTATGTCTCTAGGCCTGCTCCCCAGAGGAAGATGATAAAAGCTACTCCTGCTTCCCAAAGCGTGGAACAACTGGCTCTGCTCTGTCCCCTTTCCCCAGCCCCTACCAGTGTCCATGGTTGGTCAGTCTTTCAGCTCATAGAGAGGGGAGCTTTGAGAAATACATCTAGTGACTTACCCCAGCAGCAAATCCCAGGTGGATACAAATGGTGAAAAGGGTAACTGGGAGATATTTTAAAAGAGATGTTTCTCCATGTGCCACAACAAACCAATGCCTGAAGCTGGGTTCGTGTTCACTGGTCAAATAATGTCCACTGTAGTGTGTTTCTTCACAGTATGACTGAGAAGGGGTGGAAGATTTAGAAGAGTTTACTGGTAATTTCCCTCTGGAGAGGAAAAGGGGCCTGAATGAGAAGGGAAAAAAGAAGGGGCTAATTTCTTGTTACTCTCGCTGCTACTCCTAGACGCTACTACTGACAAAAGTGTATTAAATAGGGACGCTAAGGAAACATGGGCAAAATAAGAAAGCTATCCACTAGAAACTAAGACAAGTAGAATTTTAGCTGGTAGCCAATGGGCTAAAGGTCAAATGCTCGGTTCCTTACCCCCTGCGGGGGGCAAGGCAGGAAGAGAAAAGCGGCTCTTGACTGAGTGGAGGAGTCTATGTGACTGAATTTGCTGTTCCCCTTCTTGGCTCTGTTCTCAGAATCACAGACTGCCCCCCTCCCTGACAAGCGGACTCCAGCACCTGGTAGGGGTAAGAGAAGACAAGAGAGAAAAAAGGGAGACAGAGAAAGATAAAAAACATCAACAGCCATGTTGCCAAACTAAACAACTAAATCAATGACATGAAAGAAAGAAATTAACAGCAATAACTAAGATAGAAAGGAATAAAATAGGATTATCTCAAGACAAAATAGGTCTCCTCCCCTTTGACACACTAACCAAATAAAACAGTAACCATTGGAAAAGAAATTTAACTATGATTACTTTTAAAATTAGAGGTTTACATACTAAAATTTAGGAAATACGTGTTAAATCTCCACGACTGGAATTTCAGAGTGTTTTATTCCAAATGAATATCTTAAAAGTATTCTGATAATTGCTTTTAAGAAATCATTTTTTAAAATAGAAGAAATGACCTTTAAGCTACCCAATGTTGTGAAAGTAACAAAACTGAGATTTTAAAACATTTAAATTTAAATGGTTATAGTTAAGAACACCCATAAATATAATGAACATATCAAGCCCACAAAAAAAGAAAAATCTTCATAGTAGGCTGCCCATATACTTTCTATACCGATTTAGAGTTGAGCCTAACTCCACAAAGATGTGGTAACAATATATATAACTAATGGGAAAATGACAGCATACTGAAAGAATTTACATAGCAGTTGCATTGAGCACGGTTAGTGTAATAACCCCACTCACAGAACAGAATTACCACCCCATCGCTATTCGCAAACACAAATGGAATAAAATAGTGGAATTACAAATGTGTGATCAGAGATAACGATATATCAAGGGCAGATTGAAATGATTACCACTCTGGTTTGGGCTTTTTTTTTTTTTTTTTGGTGGGGGGTGAGGAGTGTAATATGTACATCATCCTCAAATTTTTAAAGAATCAAAACTAGACAAGCAATTATTTGGTCATCCCCTTCTCATTCAGAGGACTGTCAACGGAAAACGTGGAATGACTGTCACACTCTAAAATTTACACGTAAGGAGGAAAACGTGGAATCGAAAACAGGAGCTGCGGGACCGCAACACACGATCCTCCTCCCGCGGTCGCTCCATAGAATTTGTGGGAATGAGGGGCGGGTGTGTGGGGGGGGGGTCGTCGCCGCAATCCCGAGGACACATCGGCAGCCCACGGGTCCGACTCCAGCCGGCGTTCCCGGGGTTACCACACCCCCTCGCCGGCGGGGACACCACACTCCTTACACGCCCGAGGTCGCCGCCCCCAAGACATGGCTCGCCCAGTCTCACGCACACGCCACGGGCCGGCGCCTCCCGGCACACGCGCGAAGGCCGGGCCCCGCCTCGCTCCCCACCGACTCCGCGGAGCGGCGACCACCGGCCTCCACTAGCCCCGTCCCCTCCCCGGCCCAGCCCCCGCCAGTGGGGGGATCCATTCCGCTGAACTCGCCCACTCGGGAGGGCGCGCCTTCGCCTCACTGCTCTACACCCGGGGGCAGCAGCGGTCGTACCGCTCACCTGGCTCGGGGGCTCCTCCCTCGCTCTCGGCCGACGGAGCCGGGCTGGGGCCTTCGAGGAAGCGCGGGCCGCCGGGCGGCTGGAAGTGAGGGGAAGGAGAGGAGGGGGAGGGGGTCGGGATACCGGGAGCCGCCTCCTTTCTCCTCCGCCGACCGCGGCTCCCGCAGCCAGGCCGGGCGTCCTCGCACACTCGCCCAGTTTCTCACAGCCTCGCGGCCCGTCAGCCTCTCCCTCACCCCACTCCCACACACTCTCACTCCCACACACTCACACCCGGCCGCTCCTCGTTCCCTCACTCGCCTGCCGCGCGCGCGCGCGCGACCCCGCTCACACACAGCGCGCGCGACGCCGGCGGAGACCGCCCCGCTCCCCGAGACCGAGCGCGCCGCCGCCGGCCTGCAGAGGACCGGCGCGCGCCCGGCCCGCCCTCCTGGCGCGGCGCGGCGGCGCGGCGGGCGGGCGGCGGCCCGAGGAGCTGGGGGCCGGGCCCAGCGCGCCGAGCACTGCCGAGCGGATCTGACACCTGCGTGGAGACCCGCCCTCCCAGCTCCTCGCCCGCACCGGAGCCATCGCTGGCCTCGGGGGAAGAGAGGCGATAGATCGCGCGCGGGGAGCGAAAAGGGAGCGCGAGGGCGCTCCGAGGACGCGCCTCCCCACCCGCCCCCAAACCGTCTTCACTGAGAAAGGGAAACGGATGGGGGGTGGGGGCGAGGTTTGTTCCCAACTCGAAACCGCGAGATTAGTCCCTTCCGTTGTACGCCCTCCCCGCCCTCACATTCCCTGCTCAGGCCCCTTATGTCTGCGCCTGGAGCCACGACGCGAGCCCCCGATTCCCTCGGGCGCAGGGTCCTGTCCGCATCCCCACGCCTCCCGCCCAGCCCTTCCGCCGGCCGCCGCCCGGAGTCCCCGCTTACGGTGGTTCCTCCCTCCGGTAGGCAAAGATATGGAAACAAAGATCATTCATACCTAGAAGGTCTTTATCCGTGACCGGACTGAAGACAATATCTCTGTATATTGAGAGGCAAATTTAAAACCACATGATAAATTTCCTGGCTGAAGCGGGTTTGGAGATACAGGCGGGGTGGATAGCGCCAGCTCTGCCCCCTAGAAACCAGCGTAAACCTTGGACAAGTTAGTTGCTACGCTTCCTCAGAGCCTTTGTTGTGAAAAGATAAAAGTACAGTCCGGAGTCGTTGTGAGAATGAAATGAGATATTTTAAGAGCATTTTGTAAATTCTAAAACTATGTATAAAAAATAAAATTATAGCCCAAAGGAGGCTAAGAATATGAATGTTCAACTACGCTATTCCTTTTTCTTAAGGAAAAAAAAAAAACAAAACACCAAGGGCGACCGACGACCTCCAGGTTTACATGGCTTCCAAATAATGTCAGTCACCAGAGACACCAGGTGTGAGGTACAGTAGTGTGCTCACCAGTTTGCCTTCTTGTTGGTCTCAGCCCTGTCTCAGTGACCTCAGCCAACAACTTTTCACTACTCCACTCTCAGTCAATCGCCAATATAATTTCATTTTCTGCTTTTAACGAAATTTTGACAAATTTATTTCAGCGTCATGAGAGTCCTTTAAGAGATGTAGCATAACCCGGGATGGTAACTTCTGGATCCAGATGGCCCAGATTGGATTTATGGTTCTGCTACCCATGTGATCCTCTGCAGTAACTTAACCTCTCTGTATCTTTATCTGATGAGCTGTAAAAGTGAGGATAAAAATAGTTACCTACTTCATGGAGTTGTCATAGGAGTAAATGAGTTAATAAGTATATAATATTTAACACCTGACACAGATCAAGTGCTGTTCAAAGTGTTTAGTGTTATTGTAATGTTACATCAGTGAGTAACCTAGGATAGGCGTCTAGTTTTACAAAATTTAGAGGAACAAACGCCCTATAAGATAGATACACTATCTTGAGAACCAAGGGGATAAGGTCTACAGAACTAAAATGTTGCTATTTACTTCCACTCTGATATTCAGCCCCCTGGGACATAAAGTATATTCAACTCAAAAACCAAGAGAAGCATTTTGTGATCAAGGAAAGCTTGAGCACAGAGAGACTAACACTGAAAATCTGGCAAAATACACATAGTGAAATTGACACAGGGAAAAAATTGTACAGAGGATCAATAATAATATTTAAGCTATTCCTTCAGTCCCACTCTTAAGGAATCCAATTTGTGGTAACTGTGCATCTCCAGAAAAAGTGGGTTGTACTGGTGAAACTGTGGATAGGAAGTATGACTATTAACTCACTTGACTATTAACACTTAGAAGTTGTTATTCAGGGCCAGGCACAGTGGCTTACGCCTGTAATCCCAGCACTTTGGGAGGCTGAGGCAGGTGGATCACCTGAGGTCGGGAGTTTGAGACCAGCCTGACCAACATAGAGAAACCTTGTCTCTACTAAACATACAAAATTAGCCAGGCGTGATGGCGCATGCCTGTAATCCCACCTACTCGAGAGGCTGAGGCAGGAGAATCACTTGAATCTAGGAGGTGGAGGTTTCAGGCTGAGATCATGCCATTGCACTCCAGCCTGAGCAACAAGAGCAAAACTCTGTCTCGAAAAAAAGTTGTTATTCAATGTATTGCTACTGTGTGCCATACACATTCTGAGATATTCTCATGTATATAACAACGTTGCTTTTGACTTAAGCTAACAGGGAGTCAAACAAAGCTCAGGAGGGTATTTATAAAAACAAAGCCAATGATAAGGCTTAAACAGATTACCATTATTGTGATATTGTTAAGATAATGTTTACGTAATGATCAAATTCATACATCATACTTTTTGTATGAAGTAATAAGGGGGCAAAAATTATTTATACCATTTCCATACTGGAAACCCAAGGTTCAGAAAGGCTGTACGTATATTCAGTCATAATCTTTGAGAATTCATGGTTGATATGTTTAGGCAGCTATGGACTCACATCTCCTTTGGGTAGCAACACTTGCTCAAAAATACTGTAAGTAGTTGTTCTTGGCATAATCATGCACAACTCATTTTTAACTAGTGAATTAATATTTTTTAGGAAGTTCGGGGGCGGGGGTCAGTTGAATCCCCTGGGAAGACATACTGTAAGTAACCTAGCATGTCTGGAGTCAGATCAATCTGATTTGAAATCCTAGCTGTATTTACTAGCAGCATGAGATCATTGCTTAACTTCCATAAACCTCAGTTTTCTCATCAATAAAATGAAGATCATATTAGCACCACTTTATTAAGATAGAAGGATGAATGAGGTAACTCAAACATAATGCATAACATACTAAGTCTCAATGAAGGTTAGCTATTATTATTCAAGACTAATTGATACCAAAACAGTCAAATAGCAAAGAGAAATTATACAATGTTCAGATATGTGTGATAATCATATAAATAGTCATATTTACTGCATATCCCTATGAGTGTGAGAACAACTCTATGGATGAGTAATGTCTTTGAGATGAAATTAGGGTTCATCCTTTGCCTGTGCCAAAACACTTCCAGATTTTTGCTCTTATTCCTAGACACATGAGAATCAACAGGAGGGACCGGACAGGGTGGCTCATGCCTATAATTCCAGCACTTTGGGAGGCCGAGGCAGGTGGATCACCTGAGGTCAGGAGTTTGAGACCAGCCTGGCCCACATGGTGAAACTCTGTCTCTACTAAAAATACAAAAATTAGCCGGGCGTGGTGGCAGGTGCCTGTAATCCCAGCTACTGGGGAGGCTGAAGTGGAAGAATCGCTGGAACCTGGGGGTAGAAGTTGCAGCGAGCCAACATCGGGCCACTGCACTCCAGCCTGGGCAACAGATGGGTACTCTGTCTCAAAATAAATAAATAAATAAAAATCAACAGGAGGCCGGGTGTGATGGCTCACACCTGTAATTCCAACACTTTTGGAGGCTGAGACAAGAGGATTGCTTGAGTACAGGAGTCCAAGACCAGCCTGGGCAACACGGGGATAGGCTGTCTCTATGTTTATTGTTTTTTGTTTTGTTTTGTTTTGCTTTTTTGAGACGGAGTCTCGCTCTGTCACCCTGGCTGGAGTACAGTGGCAAGATCTCGGCTCACTGCAACCTCCACCTCCCAGGTTCAAGTGATTCTCCTGCCTCAGCCTCCTGATCAGCTGGGATTACAGGCACCCAGCTAATTTTTGTATTTTTAGTAGAAACTTGGGGTTTCACCATGTTGGCCAGGCTGACCTTGAACTCCTGACCTCAAGTGATCCGCTCACCTGAATCTCCCAAAGTGCTGGGATTGTAGGCATGAGCCACCTCACCTGGCCCCTATCTCTATTTTTTAAAAAAGAAAATAGAATCAACAGGAGAGCTTCCAAAAACTGATTAAATCAGCATTGGCGTCCAGGCACCAATATTTTTTCAGAGCCCTCCAGGGGATTTTAATACACAGACAGGGTAAAGACCAAGTTTATAGAACAGAGATGTTAGAATTAACTATTTGGTTGTGCTGAAATACACGTTATCTAGCCATTTCAGCTAGTCGGTCGGATTAGCTGATTAGAATATAACTAAATTTTCAGTACAGGCCAGGTGTGGTGGCTCACGCATGTAATCCTAGCATTTTGGGAGGCTGAGGTGGGCGGATCACCTAAGGTCAGGAGTTCAAGACCAGCCTGGTCTAACATGGTGAAACCCCATCTATATTAAAAATACAAAAATTAGCTGGGCGTGGTGGTGGGCACCTGAAATCCCACCTACTCAGGAGGCTGAGGCAGGAGAATCACTTGAACCTGGGAGGCAGAGGTTGCCGTGAGCTGAGATAGTGCCACTGTACTCCAGCCTGGGCGACAGAACGAGACTCCATCTCAAAAGAAAGAAAGAAAAAAAATTGCAATACAAAGCATTTTAAAGTTTTTGGTGGGATAATATGAAGATACTGGGGTCAAGGCCTATAAAAGTGAGGGTTTAACGAAAACAAAATCTCCCCTAACAGAGTTACCCAGGTCCAGTCAACCCCATGTCTCTGATTCTACTTGAGTACATAGGTATACATCTACATCAGTCAGAAAAACATAATTTACAAATGAAATAACAATAAATGGTTTGTCTATTGCAGGTCAAGCAAAAACCTTTAAGTGCCCTGTACACATGATCTGTTGCAAATCATTTCCCCCTGAGTTTGAAGACAAGGCAACTAGCGGGGATCTGCTCAAAACTAACGGCCTCAAAGTAGTAAAGAGAATTGTAAACAAGAATTTCATCTTTGAGATGGTTATCCTCAGGACCTAAAATAGTGTTCTTTGTGAAATATCTAACATTATTACTGCAAAATTCATGTGACTGGAGAAAAGGTGGTTGGTGTCTAATGTCAGAACCTTCACTAGCAAATAAGGAACAGTAGCGGCAGCTGCAGTAA